GATCGTATGTCACCTGCTTCTCTTCTCTGTTTTATAGTGGACATCTACAAGGCAATAACAGCAGCCATTGTCTTACTGGTACACCAAATTCTGTGATTTTGTGTCATTCTTCCAGATGAGCAGATGCAAATTTCTTTTCAAGCCTTCCAAAAATACTGATTGTCATTTTGCAGATATGCAAAAGCCAGGAGAATACTCTCAACCTGGAAGCTATAATGCTGTTTGAGAACCAGGAAGCAAAATTTACCATCATTTAAAAAGTCTGTGTCAAGCATATTCATCTGCTGGTCAGTAACAGCACATTTTGTTTCAATACCTAAAGTCATTATGGCCTAAAGATGAAAGTGGTGAGTGCTAAAGCTCAATGATGATCTTTGGCTGCTGTTTGGAAAGTTTCACAAGTATTCATTTTCAGTGAGATAATTTAAGATAGTCGTCATCTGAGGATGTTTGAATCTGGTAATGCCCAATAGAAGTTTAACGCAGTATCCTCTTTCTTGGTCATCTTTTATGTTAACTGTTTTATTGTAAAAATCATATATTTTTTAGGAGTTAAATGGACTCAACCATATGGGAAATTGCAATTGATGTAAAGATATTAGTAGTGGATTCCCAAATACTGCTTAGTTAAGTAAACATGTATATTTATACATAAAGGTAATCACACAGACATGGATATGTTACTACTATTAGCTACTATGATAGCTCTTCATTCCTTTTGCAAAACATAGCATATTTATAAGAAATTTATCACTGCTGGACCTCCTGTGTAACTACAAAAATTAAAAGCAAATAAAAAATTATCTTGCATTAGATTACTGACAACAGATGCTCAATGATGTGCATAAATGCAATACCATATGTCAGATAAAGCATTGTGGTAGTTTTTCAGTGTTGTAAATAATTTGGTTTACTTAATTTTTGTCTAATGATAGCACATGGAGGTTCCTATAGATAACGCAGTATAGGGGAAACTCGCTTTTTAAAAAGCAGGTTATTGTCTTCTGTTCTGAAATACAGCAGAGATCTAAAAACAACTGGTTCAGGGGAGAGACAAACAAAAACCATTTTTTTTTTTTTGTTAACTTTGTTCTTGTGGTTTCATTTGTTGAATAAAACTTTTCTTTATGATGAATGGAAGCCCTTTCCCTTATTTTCATTTATGTACAAAAGAGGCTTGAACTTCCTTGGATTGACCTTTTGATATTTCAGTCTTGTTTTTATAATGAATGGTGAAAGAACGATTGTAGGTTTGTCATAAATCTTCCTCTCTATTTTCATGTCTTTTTCCTTATGCAATTTATATGCAATTCAGCTTCTACTTTACATATTCACGTACAGTACAGAACTATCACTTTTGAGATTTGTCAATGTCATATTTATGAAATAGTATTTAGCAGCAATAATGATATTGTTTCTCAAAGAAAGTCCAGAAAATATTTATAAATTTAAAAACATTTTTAACATTTTTATTTTGCCTAGTCTCCAGACTCCACTTTATTAAAAGCATTCTGTAACTCTGACAGGGTGGTAACAAGCTTCTGAGTTCATTTTTTGGAGAAAATGATTCACAAACAGGATAGTGACAGGCTTTTATGATTACGGATTTCACTTATTCTGTTCCTTCAAAAGGGCTTATATAGATTGATAGATCTACAAAGATAGAAATGAAAAAATGAAAGGAAGAGATATAAATAGACTTTTTCATTAGGATGAATGATGGAAGGTATTAACCCCACTACAGCAGCGTGCCTTTTACATGTCTTCTTTTTTATTCCTTTTGACCTGCTATCATCTTCTTTCTAAGTAAAAGTTAACTACAGTCTGGAATGTAGGTAAAGGTGAGCAATAGCTGGAAATAAATGTTTCTTCAAGCATTATTACTGTTCAGAGAAGTGTCCATCAGCCAAAATGTCAGCCTCAAAATCCATTTAAGCACTGCACAGAGGCTAAACAGGCAGCTATTATTAATTTTTAAGTCTGCCTGACAGGTTTCAGACCAAGAACTGGGGTTAACTTGATGCACTGAATATTGCAGAATGTATTTAATTAGGGAGGCTGTGACTCTCAGATGGCCGAGGATTTCTTATATGCAAACGACTGCAAAAATATGATAGCTGCATTTACCTAAGAAAGGAACCTGTTGCATCATATTAAAATGCATAAAATTGCTCTTTCATTACAGTTTCTTGAACTTTTATCCTAATGTAATCATTAAATAATTTAAACTTGACTATTTTGAAGCACCACTGTACTTCTCTTTTAAATAATTTTTTTTCATTATACTGCAAGTTAACAATATGAATTTTTCCAGAATAAGCCCTATTCATTTTTATGCTCTCTAGTTACCAAACCAAATAATTTTCCCACTGCGCCTTGCATGGATGTTTCCTCATTTAAAACATAGCTGTGGAATTAATATAAATGAATTAACATTTGTCTTTAATGTATTTATCTATAAAAATGAAGGATTATAAAACACAAATAGGCATTAAGACACAAATCAGCCCAAAGGGCTATTTAGTTGCTTCTGACTGGATTCGGGATCTTAGAAAAATATATATTAAAAAGCAACAAACTAGAAATTATTTCACTCCACTGGTTGTTAAACCTCCTAGATGTATCAGTTCTGCTGTTTGCTCCACTTCCAGCACACAGCTTTTTTTCTCTGTCCCAGACAATCCTCTGCTAAATAATAATAATAATAATAATAATAATAATAATAATAATAATAATAATAATAATAATAATAATAATAATAATATATTCACACAAGAATCTGGAAGATTATAATCGTACAAGTGAAAATGGGAAACTGACACAATCCTAATGAAAGATTTTAGGTACTGTTATCTCATTAGCATTTGATATGCTTTATTGTTTAATAAATAAGTCAATTGTCCATTCTCATTGATTTAATTTTCCATTGATATCATACAGCATGAAACTCTCAGAAGATGGTGGGTAGCAGTTAGAGGATAGAGGGTCTGGGGTAAATGCATTTTGTAAGTGAATATGGCCATTACCTTGACAATAACCCTCTTGGGGGGCCCCAGATGTAAACTGCTTATACTCTTTATCAGGTGATGGTATTTTCCAAGAATATGCTATGTTCTTTGGTCTGAGTTTTGTATTTCTTTCACACATGCCTAAACACTGATATGTGAAGCACACTATGAAGGACTAAACAAACAAACAAAATATATAAAACACCAATGGAAAAAGTAAAGTATCTTCCTGGGTATAGATATCTGTGTCAGTATGCGTGTGTGCACATACAGGCAGCATTGCTTTTCTAAAAGTACTGTAGCCTGTGTCTTTCTTATGAGTTTGTCAGACTTCCTGATCATTTAATGAAGCCTCCCCATTCCATTTTGTTAGCAGTTGTCTCATACACAAAATTTCCCGACATCAATATGAAGCCTGTATGAAAAGCAGCTGTATGAAAAGAACATTTGTCTCTCCATTTCTCTGTAGTCTTTAGTCCACATCTCGTATATCTTGCTGCCACCCTCACCTTTGGAGCTATCCTATATTACCAGTTCCTGACTAATCAGCACTTCGTAGCTTTCTAAGGGAGCGTTGTTTAGGCTTCTGCTCCTCCTTAAGACCTACATTTTATGTTGCTTCTCCAAGTGTTCATATTTCTCATTTACTGCTCCAGGTTCCTTTAGCCTTTTCAAAGTGAACAATGTGTACAACAATTTAATGACTTCCTCCCACTAAATATTATCCGAGAATTTCTTTGCTATATTTACTTGGTATTAGAAACCTAAATGAAAGCATGAAAATAGATTTGACACTAATAACTGTCACATTAGGATGGAGAACTGAACACAGTATTGTTTGTAACAGTGGAAAAATATATTCACACTGTTTTCATCAAAAAGTCTATTTTTCCATCACAGCCATGAATTACCTGAATTATGTTTTCAATAAGATTTTCAAGATATTACCAAATACTTCCTTATGACATGAATTATTTTTTTGTACTCTATTTATCTCACCCACTGGTGCTATTCTATGAAGAAACAAAACAACTATGTTAAGATTTATGAGTAAAACTTAAGAAATAAATATTTGGTTGTACATTATTTATCCTATAGCTATATATATATATATATATATATTATTATTTTTTTTTTCCTAAAGGCAGATATACTGCTTAATTCCTTACATATGAGAGGAGGTAACTGACACAAACACATCCTTTTATTTTAAATAGTTTTGTTCTGCTTGCTCCTGTTTGCTCATTCAATATCATTGCAGTTTCACTACTGTTTTTAAGAATACTTATGATAGTCATGTGCTTATAGCAAGTTTGTTAGGCAGTTCTCACAGTCACTTTTCACACAGCTTCCTACCAAAGCATTCAACATATTCATATTTTTCCAAAGACCATTTAATTGTTTTTGATAAATGCTTTTTAAAAGATACTCACATTTTCAAACTCTGAACAATATATGGGTATGTATATGTGTTTTCTTGATAAAAGCATGTTAAGAACATGGAGTCAGCATTTCTGATGTGTGGTCTAGTTACTTTTAAGTGCTGAATAGGTCTATCTAATTATTGATGAGAGTAATACAGTACACTGTAAATGGCTTGACCTGTCATCTGCATTAACTTTACTGCCGATAAAACTGTCATTTGGAAAAACAGACTAAATGTCTTCAGGAGCTTTGGTTCAAATTTAAATATACATACAGAAAAACTCATGTATATATGCAGCATGGATCACATCCTTTTCAGCAGAATGACTGGTTCATGCAATTGGTTCACAGATCCCTACAAACAAGTTCAGTAAGTATAATCCTGACACTTGTAGTACCTAAATACTACAGTGTAAGTATGGGTTTGAGCAAAATTTGTTGTGTACATGACTGTCATATTCTGCCATTTTTACAAACTTTGTTCTTCATCTTGGTAGTTAATGCAAGACTAAGTCTCACCCCAGGTACTGTAGCTCCAGAGATGGATAGGTGTGTATCAGTACTTACAGCTGTCCTCTTCCTCCATGAAAATACTGATCACGTAACAGGCATACACAAATCCAATCAGCTGCATGAAAGAAAAGGAAAAGCAATCATTAGAACACTCTGAACACTTATTAATCTTTTATTACAATGCTATATAAATACAGGTATCACAGCTATATTTAGAAAAAATTTGCTTCAATTTCCTGAATTTATATGTAAATTTCAGAGCAAGTGGTCACAAACAGATAAATTAAAGAGACTTTCTCTTTTTTTTGCACGTTACATTATATTTTAAGATCTTTTTCTCTTTTCTAGCCCCACTGAGATCATCACTGATGAATGCTACTACAAAACATTAGGTCTGAACATCATGTTAGAAGTGCTTGGATCTTGATGTTTAGCTACTATGTACATTCCTTTGATTGTTGAATACTTCTGTGCTCACGTGGCTCTGTCAACATTCAATGCTGAGGGCCCCCTAAGAACCTAATTAAGATATAAAGAAGATAAAATATTTACTGAGTGCTATAGAATTAAGTTATAGTAAAGGTATTACAGAATCCACAAGAGATATCATTTTTCTTAGATAAAGTGATCCAGTGAAGGACTGCTTGGCCAAAGTTTAACTTGATATGTGAAAAATCATGATTTAACTAAACAGTAAAGTTGTGTTATGATTCATCTGCATTAGGAAACACCTTATCAGAAGGACCTATCTGCAAACCACATTCACTATGCAAGAAAAGAGCAGACGCATTTCCTCAGAGGACAACACCAGCAAAATCATGCCATTATTTTAACAAGAGCTCCCATAAGTACTTTCTTCCCTGTCCAGCTCTGTGTCACTTGTGCAACTGAGAGGAAGGGATTAAAATCTTAGGACCAGGGAATAGAAACTCTGCTCATTAGCTTTTCATACAGACAAAATGTTTTCTTATGGCCATCACCAAAGATGAAGAAAATTCCACTGGGAAAGAAAACATAATAAACTGCACTGCCCAGACATGTCCATGCTTGAGAAAATATTGTTTGTGCAGCTGTACACAATTTGTGCTATCTGAAAGCCTTGAAGAGGCTGTTCATGAAAGATTTCTAAAATAACCTAGAGATTAGTGTTGTGTTTTTTTTTTTTTTTTTTAATCTTTTTGTCTGATCCATTAAAAAAAAAAATCTAATTAAAATAGTTCCTTTAAGGGTGTCATGGATCGACCATCTGAGAAGGAGGTAATTTAATAGCATCTAGACAGGTATAAGCTCCTTCACTGGCACAGAAATCATTCCAACCTGCTTTCTTCTTGAGCTATACCAGGAGCTTTACAAGCAGCTCCAAGATCCTCTCTGCAGACAAAAAGCTTGTCCACACAAGGGAATTCAGGGAAGTTAAGATGAATTAACTAAAGCTGTGAAATCAATGCATGTAAGATAAAGCACATTAAATCCCTGTGTGGCCTTTTCCATTCAGAAATAAAGTGGCCTCAGTTCACTGTAGCTTAATCCTCCTCCAAGGGATTAATCTTCCCCATGGAGAATTAAGCTTCAGTACACCCAGGCCAAGTTCCGTGTGAATGAGAGCTGTCACAGCGTTGCAGCCCAGTCCTGCCAGCTTCCTCTCTTGGGCATTCACCTCACCAATGTTTTGGGAAAATGAGCCAGTAAGTCTAATCCAGCTTTCCTCTCACTTTGAGCAAGCTGCAGCTTCCTTAGCTTTTCTGGGAGTCATATTTACTGGGAGAAATTGTCACAGCCTTTATCAGGTGAGTATTGGATCGAAGTGTCTTTCACATAGGTTAACTGAAGCACGATTATATAAAGGCTTTCAAGGGATAAAAAAAAAATCACATTATATTTGAGGTATTTTGCTTGTGCCACCCAAACATTACACATAAACTGCTGTTGCATTAAGTATCATACAAAACAAACAAACAAACCAGAAAATGAGTGGCTTTTCGAGAGGAAATGTCACCTGCTTATCTGCTTATTTACAGTATTTCCAGGTCACCACTGACAGTGTGAGATTTGACTAGACAAGTCACTTGGGTTTGTTTCTTCTCCCGAAGTATGTGACTGAAATATTTTGAAGAGAAAAGCTGCTGAATAAATAATGAACACAATAAAAATGAATTGTAGTACAGCTTTTCAGGACAATAACAATTCATGGAAAACATGGTATCAAAAAAAAAAAAAGAAAAATAAAAAAATCAATAAAACAGATTAGACAATTTTAAATGGACCTGTCCTAGTAATTCTCCCTCTTTTATGCCTCTAGATGAGGTTACTAGCTATACCATACAATATTTGAAGACTATAGGCCACGATTAAATAGAATTAAGCATACATAAGAGACTGTATATGAAGGGAATTGCAAGTGGTCACAGGCATCGCAGCAATGATGCCCAGCAAGTTGGCAGTGCAGCTTGGCATGTGCCCTGGATTGGGGGTGACCTCTTGCTTTGTGGAATATCTTGCAGGAAGCACATATTTTTTGTGCTATATAATGTGTGCTGGTGTCATTCTAGATATAGGCTCCAACCTCTGCAGTTCTTCCGCACCATTCCCATAACAATATTTGGAATCTGACTACAGAAAAGACCACATTTTTATCTGTGCATCACCCTTTGCTGTCTGGCTACTCCATGGTGTAGGCTAGCTAAAGCTGATGATTGGGTGTCCTCACCCTCTGCCTTCAGCAGTAAATCCTAAATTTGCTGAGCTTCAGAGCACCCTGAAAACATTACCTCTTCTTCCTGATGTGAGCAAAGAATGGCGGTACAGACAGAGCATTGGAAATAGGAGTGACAGTTCAGCCCACAGTCTTTGTGGGTTGAATGTTTGTGAAGGAAGCTAAACGATTTAGAATTATTTACCGTTATCCAATTCTGTATTTTGTAATTTTTTTGTACTCAAACTTGTTGAGAATGCTAGTTCCACCTCTCATTCTCCCAGCACAGGAAGAGATTTCCACTCTCATAGGTAACAACCTACTTGACACAAAGAAGAAAGCAACAGGGAAAAATACTCTGGGAGGTCTTCCCTCCAAAAAAGTATGAGGTTTGGCAAACCTGATTGTTTTAGCAGTCATAACAGCTTACATCTTGCTCTTTCAGTAGATCTTAAAGTAAACCTTTTGCTACTGCCTTTAGAGTTTGAAACATGCTGTTGCAATGTCTTTGTCTTATTTATGGCCTTATTCTTGAAGAATCAGCCACCTCTTTCTGCTTCTTAGTATTTCTTTATATTTCTTAGCATTAGTAGATAAATATTCCTCAATCAGACAAAAATCGATATTACATATTATGTTTATGGCATATACTGGTTTAAAAGATAGACTTTCCTCAACCTGATTATCAATTAATGCCTAGAGAAGTAAAAAAATATATATTTAACCATGCTCAGGTTTTTTTTGTTTGTTTGTTTTTTTTGGAGGAAAAGGAAAAATCAGGTCTTTAATCACAATGGGAAGTATCAAAATCCACCATATTTCAAAAACAACTTTCTGTAATTAAAAGGTAGAATGCATATTTCTGAAAGAATACAACAACAAAGAGAGAAAAGAGCCCTTTGACATTAATTGTTAGGTATAGGTGCTCAGTGGTGGACAGCAATATTTGGCTTGTAACTAACATACTTGTAATTAGAGCTGGGTAACTGATATCTACAGTACAATTAGTAGGAAGTGATGAAGTGGGAATATAACCTTCTGCAGTTTAGATCTCTTTTCAGATCCTTAAACAGAGCTACAGCCACCACAGTGTGAATATTTTTATAAATGAATTAATTAAAACCTCTTCTTTTGCTTTATTGATGGACACACTAATAAAATATTTATTCCAACAAATTACTTTTGCTATCTTGATTAACCCAGCTGCTGTTTAATTAATAACGTTATGCTCATGTGAACCCATCCAGCCATCACATTAATTGCCAATTTGCAGTGAGCTGATTGATGCGAACTGCCTGGTTTCTTGATATTGGAAATGTTGGCTATTGGCCGGGCACCAAGTGATAGACATAAATGTGTGTTCCCTGATAACTAAAGAAACCATGATGCAAATGACCTGAAAGATATTTAATTTTCTTATCTTGTATTTCAGTAATCATTCAAGGGGACAAATGAAGTGGTTGGAACAGGATGTCCAAAGCATCAAATATCGCTAGCAATGAGAGGTGTATAAATGGGAACCTAGGACTTGATCCAGCCAGCAATTTAGATTCCAAAGTGGAACGTTAGAATCTAAGCAGGTATTGAGACCCCTGACAGCATCTAGTCCATCTTTCAGAAAAATAAAATAACCCTTAGAAGAGTCAAACATTGGCCATGGTTGGATATGAGACACTGAGTGCTTCTATGAAACCACCACTATTTTGGTACAAAAAGTCATATTTCTCCAATGACTAGCTGATAAACACTGCTCATATTCCCCACATCACAGTGATCAGGGTGTGGGAAACAATTGTCACCTTGTTTAAGTTGACAAGGACTTTGAAGTGGAGTGCACAAAGGGATTTCTTAATGGTGAAACATAGGTACGTTAATATGATGTTATTATGAGGACTTTTTATACGTAATTTCTTTTCTCCTGATACTCATAGGTAGAAATACTAGACTGTTATTTTTTCCCTATGCAGGCAGTATAGTCTCTAGAGGACATAAATGCTTTAGTCTAACTAAAATCTCTAAGCTTGAGATATGGATATCCGCATAAAATATAAATGCCTAGTTTAATAGAAGTGAAATTATATTACATAATTGTCCATCATTAACTGTAAGAAGCTGTGAAAACACGTAAGAAATTAAAAAACCTAATCATCTCAGCAAATATATGCTGTGTCTTAATTGCTTTAATAAATGAATATTGTTATAATATATCCTATTAAAAAGAAGAAACAAACTGGGTGTAAAATGTATATTTACTTGTAAATTAATGTATTTTAATAGTTAACAGTTAATGTGTATTAACCTTTCCTTAGAAAAGCAAGGACAAATGCAAAATAAAATTAAAAGTGTGTATTTAAATCAAGGTTATGAACTGCAGACTGAAATATTTTTTATTAAAATTGGTTATTTAAATAATTTTGATTTAA